CTAGATAGTGGTAAGTCTGGTACTTTATTAGTGGGTGAGTATGAAATACTAGATAGTGGTAGGTCTGGTACTTTATTAGTGGGTGAGTAGAAATACTAGATAGTGGTAGGTCTGGTACTTTATTAGTGGGTGAGTAGAAATACCAGTTAGTGGTAGATCTGGTACTTTATTAGTGGGTGAGTAGAAATACTAGATAGTGGTAGGTCTGGTACTTTATTAGTGGGTGAGTAGAAATACTAGATAGTGGTAGGTCTGGTACTTTATTAATGGGTGAGTAGAAATACTAGATAGTGGTAGGTCTGGTACTTTATTAGTGGGTGAGTAGAAATACCAGTTAGTGGTAGGTCTGGTTTCTGTACACAGTGACGTCATCTCTGGGTATTATTAAAAATTTCCCGAATCTTTGAGAGTGCGTAACCGTTTTGTTTTTATAATTTTACATAAAACTACATACATGATAACGTACACAATCATCTTTAACTAAACCAAAGTGATAGGCAAAGGGAAATTAAATTATGTTGTTATTAATTATTATATGATACATTTCATTAGTTTAGTATGCTTTTTTGAAATTATAGGCGTTCATATTTTAGTTAAAGGATAATGTATCTTTGCCAGCTTAGAACAACCACTCGTTTTAATTCATTTCCTAAATCAACCTGATAGCACATTTGAAAACACGTGAAGAGAAATTCGTTTCTTATCAGCAAAGTGGAAATATTAGGAAATCTCTAGTGCTTTAAAGCTAATGTTTACCACGACGAAAGATGATTAATAATTAAAACAATTAGTGTTATATTAAGCTGCAGGAACACACAAAACTTGCATCTGTACATTAGTTAGTAAAAGTCTGAAGGAAACGCCAGTATGGAAGCCGAAACGTTGTCCCCTTTTCATTCAACAGTCTGTTGCAGTTCATTAAAGTTCTCAAACCTATCATCTCCACTCTGCCTAAAGTTCCACTGAACAACAGACAGTAATGCGCTTCAATGAGCTTACATCAACGAATTGGGCTATTTCGTAGTCTTCTCGCTTATCACCATTGTTTATAGCGGGCTTAAACCCCAAGTTTAGACTGATCTTCACAGAAAGAAATCAAATTAAGATATCATGATATTTTATACCAAGCTCTATAATACTGTTCCTCTCAAGACACGAGCGCCACTTATATCATTTTGATCAATTCCATTGAGACATAAGAAAGGTTATAACCTCGAGAAATCACCTAACCAACAAATGGTGCTGTCTACCTTCGTATCCAACGTGGAGCTTTACATCTGGTTCTTTCACGGACACATCAGGTGTTATTTCTGGGGGATGACATAGAACACTAGGTAACGAGAGCGAAAGTAACTTAACGACTTTCTTGACGATGTATCACGTGAAAATTGTACATACACTCGAATAACTGAAACATTTTGAAAAATTCTTTATTACAAGAATGAAGAAAATGCATGATATGCTTGCTTACAAAACTAGTAATGTACTACTCAAACTACCAGTGTGCTGCAGTGTAGTTCTTTAAAGAGCTGTATATGTATATATAATGTTCAAATCTCTCTCCTGTGTCTATTTGTGATCTCTATAAAGTACTTGCATAATCTACTCTCAAGTACTTTCTACAAGAAAATAATCTTGACAAAATGGAAACAAGTGCCTTCTTTTATCCAACACATAATATCATTAAGTTCGAAACGTGGTCAGAATTCTCAAACAAGAGAGAGAGGGGTATGTAAAACAGAACCAACGTACTGTGAGCCGAAAACCTATTAGCACTTGGTAAGTTTGTTGGACATGAAAAATGTCACTATAAAAAAGTCTGATAATTATTTAGTATGAATAATAACGAACACGTACAACGGATTTTATACTACCCTGTCATCAAAAAACGTTTTTTTTTATCATGCTCATTCAGAAATGTTCATTAAAGTCAAGATTATAATTTATGTTTAACTTTCTCTCGGTATGTTAAGTGAAAAAGTAAGTTTGTTGAGCAGACTTATTCCTTGTACTAGTATGTAAGAGTGATAATTCTACACCTGTTCGGTTCAGGACTCATGTTTCTGAACAAAAGAAATCATTTGAAAAACATGTATAATTCTTCATTGCAGCTAAAAATAACATCTATTATACATGTTATGTTGACAATTTGTATTTAATATGTTACTTTATATTCTGTCAAATCTGATTCAACACACACCTTCCTTTCTAGTTCATTTTCTAAAGAAGTTAAGAACTTGAACCAGAAAATGAGAAAACTATACGTGAGCAAACTAAGCAAAGCCAAAAGTTTTTATATACGTTTATTTCTGTATCATTGAAAGAGAGATATAAAACTTCCTTCACGGAACAGGTTGCATTGCGTAAGAAATAATTATGTTGTGAAAAGCCCACCTCATTACGTATTCCATGGAGATTCCACAAACCAAGGTTACACGAGGGATTATGATTTGGCCTTTTCATATAAAATACAATAGCAATGTTACAAAATACTCCATGATATTATATTATTATTTCTTTTTCTTTTTAAAGTTTAAGCCCCCTAACTGTAGTCGCAGTAGCTTCAGCAGCTCACTTTCAATCATGAAAGATTTTACAAGAAATATTGTCATCTTAACAATATCACATCCAGTTTGATACTTACTGCGTCCGTGGAGGTAGGTTCAATAAGTTTTGATACAAGATGATAAAAACTCAATAACCTGAGCCTTTTTCAGAGATGGACCTTTCTTCTTCAGGGGCAAATTGGGAATGACCATCATCTGCTTTGTTGCCATAAAATTCTTCTTCAAACTTGGGCAAACAGTTTACCCCTGAAGGTCAACCTTTCGAAAGCGCTTGTGTTACAGGTTTTTTATCATCTTATATGATTGTATAGATATGTATATCTATTTATATTAGTATTTTGCATAATTTGAACCCTGGTTTCATAAAAACCTTTCACGAGCGGGGCGAAGGGGAATACTAATATCCCCGAACACTCCAATTTAGGAAAGTTTATTTCCTTTTAAAACTAAACACCAACCACGAATAAAATAATTAACAAGTGATGTTTAATTAGAATAGTGTAAACGAGGCTGTAAGATGCTACACTAGGTTAAAGTAGGGACAAAGTTTCAAGTACCTACGGTAATTGCAAGTAAATTAGAATGTGCAGTAATACATCAGCCACACTATCCGTTATAACGAGTGACGACGAGCTCTTTCGTACAATACGAGGATTCTTCAGGTCGGCTTGGAGACAACAGGCGTAATGAAAGTTGAGACCAAACTGCTTGAACCACAACGGTTTTGGTATGAACTGAATTACATTGGTAAAGTTTAATTTTTATCAGTTGTATTTATATTACTACAAAAACCAGAATTATAACACCAAGCTGTTTATTATTATATTTTAAGGTTGTGGCGCTTGGATAACAATCGTTGTCATGGCTAGCAGCATACACGATCACCTAAGTCTGATTATTAATTAATAGCTTTTTTCATAACTAGGTGATAATTATTACTAAAAAGCTGTGACATGAAAAATGAAATATTTCATTTGCGCGCTTTCCAAACATACAAAAAAACACACACGTTATCTGGTGTTGTTGTTGTTTGTAAAATTTCGCGTAAAGCAACTCGAGGGCTAACTACGATAACTGTTCATAATTTTGAAGTGATAGACTAGAGGGAAGGCAACTAGTGAACACCATCCATCGCTAATTTGTGGGCTACTCTAATCGAGT